CTCTAAATTAATAACGCTGACGTCACGGGCGATCCCAAGGTCCATTGCGATTTTCCACTCGTAAGTAGAAGGGTTCATTAATAGAGATGGATACTCTTCTTACATTTACACATCAAAAACGGTTGGATCAGGACAAGAAATTGTGTTTAGAAACTTTAGATTTGTAAGGTGGCCCTTTCTTATGACGAGAAATGATAGAAGACATTATAAAAATATAGCTTGAACTGCACCAAATGTGCAAGCTAGCAAAGTTAGCTAAGTTAATTGAAATCAAGTTCATTTTTGTCGCATATTATCATGTAAGGTACAATCATAGGGGAATGTAAGATTTTCAGATTTTTATTACATAGCCCTCAACTATCCTGTAGAAAATTCATGGCATAGAGACTAATAAGTGCATGGTTATTGTTGCAGTGACACTAAACACTAAACAGTTAACCTTAAAGTTAGCTGCTCAATCGTTCTCATTGTTTTGGTAGAAAGCAATTATGCCAATAAGTTATGTTGTGTTTGTTTACACTGTCTTAAGTGCACTCTAGAAAATGTGTGTGTGTGTGTGTGTGTGTGTGTGTGTGTGTGTGTGTGTGTGTGTGTGTGGTGTAGATTTCAAAATGTCTCGAAAGAAGTTCAGGCCTTGCCCCTCCTGCCAAGCACCTAACCAGGTGAGGGAAGGTCGAATAGAGCATTATGTCCAATATTCAAATATGTGGTTTTAAATGTTATACATTCTCATTATTAGGTCAATTGGACACTAAAGTATACTCCTACTAAACGACCCTGTATGATAAGTGTTCTGTGTTACAAAACAGTGATAATTTAAGGCATATGGTTGATATCATTTTGATTGCTTGTTTTGCACCAAATGCCATAGGCAACATTGATTTAGCCTGGGTGTCTCCTACATCTGCCACTTTCACTGTATGATAATAATAATAATAATCCTGTGTCAATCTAGAGATGCATATTCTGAATTGCATTGTGCTTTGTGTGTTCCTCTCTTTCCTGTATACAGCCAAATTAAACTGTATATTGATTCTACTTCTTCTCTGTGACTGTGGATCTGATGTCTCACTTTGGTATACTTTTACTAACACAGGTGAGCCGCAAAACCTGCAGCTCTTGTTTCGCAGCCATCTCCCAAAAAAGAAAGTAGCGGCCAAAAAAGTGACCCTGGACAGGAAGTGGGGGGAAAGGGTCTTAAAAAACAGAAATGCAGGAAGAGTGGTGGACTCTGCCCATATTGCAGTAAGTAGAAATGCTCATATTTCATTAAGCAATATGATTTGTTTCACTTTCATTAATATTTTGTGATAGGGCAAGGGCCTCATTTTACAAAAATAAGTTTAATTTGTCAGTGAATGAATTTGAGGTAGTCATAGATGGCATTGGTGTAACATATTATTTTAATTAATTTGTAATTTGCTTGACATGCATAGAATAGACTTTCTTTTGACCAGGCGCTCATGTACATTTGTTTACATATACTACCGGCTACATTGCAAATATAACCTTGCTTTAGTACCACACAGGTACTTCAGTATGCGTGTTACTGAAGTTTCTGTCTCTGCTAAAGGCAGATCACAGAATTCAGATCCAGAGTCACTATTAAAGACAGTCTTGCATGATTATGTAAGTAGATAACATGCTCTTACCTTGCACTACCACCCCTAGCATGTGAATATTGCATCGCACACTTATAGTGCCTTGCGCTGTGTTCATTTTAGAGAAAGTGCATGATGATGTGACAAAATAACTCAGGACATGTGTGAAAGCCATGCTGTGTGCAACATATGTGTTGTTAAAAGCAAGGCCATATTCTAGGTGTCCTATTACAAAGACACAACTTAAAAAAGTATTTGAATTACTACAGGGGAGATTAATGTCGGGTTAAAAGTGGAAAGGATTCGACTATACCTACTGGAGTAGGACCGAGACCAGGTTCTGTAGTGCAGCTGGCTATTTTATGTCCGTTGGTGGCGTTCCCAAATGAGTGTTTCTGTTAGTCCCCCAATCTACATTTGCCGTGGGCAGAGACAGGTAAACCGACCAAGGGGGGGAGGAGAGTGTTTGGATCAGGTGAATAGGTGGCCATAAAGAGTTAGTCCAGTCAAAATGTATTTTTATCATATTTTGTTTTGTGTGTGTCCAATCAATATAATTATTTTTGAAGGGTGTCAGGACTTTTTGTGTTCCCTTTAGAATCCCAGATTGCTAATTATTTGACCACCAGCATCCAGCACAACATTAGATGAATATTGGTTGTATAGAGCAGGGGTTCTCAAACTGTTTGTGCCAAGGACACTTTGTGTGGGAGAAGAATTTCCAAGGACCCCCTCATAATCAAAACAATTAAGCATATGCTTGCTACCATTTGTATACTTTGAAGCCATTTTTATTCTCTTAAGTTCATTATTCCGTGTTTTCTAGCTGGTGTGCACTTGGTCTTTAGTCAACTTTGGATTTTGAGTCACTTAATGATGTGGACTGACTCAAACATTTATCCATGTTCATCAGCTATCTTAATGGCAAATAAGCCAAGCTAAGCAGCAGGAGGAATGGTTCATCATGACCTGAGTGAAGTGATTCACAACAGATTGACTTGATTAATCATAATCACAAAAAAAGTTCAATGTTAATGTTTTAATTTATTAGTGCATTCATAATCAAGATTTTATATGTAGATTCTAGATCATTACATCGTCATTGATAAGCATTTCTTAACGATTAAGCACAACTTTCTCATTCGAAACAAATCCACTTTGAGAACCACTGGTATAGAGTACATATTTCACGAGTTCACACTTACATCAATTTAACAGAGTAAGATTATGAGTATTTGGCGTGCGGTCCGGGGGAGGTCTCCGAGCTCAGGATTTTTGCCTGAACCCAGAGTACTTCCCCCATTGTTATAAAAGTATTTAGGGCTAGAAGTGAGGAGATGGGGTGGTGGAGGGATGCTGTCAAACTGTCAACGGACAGAGCTAAGCTTGTTGTTATATATACACCTCTTAACTCGTTGATTGGATTGATTAGCAGAGTTTGCTCCACTCGTGTCTAATTGGGTTTAATTATCTGAACGTGCTCCTCCCGAACTTGTTAATAAAACATCATGTAATGTTCTAAGGGGAAAAGCTGTAAGGTTGGTCATGTAAGTTGTGTAGTTCGGGCGGCTGTGGCTCAGGTAGAGGTAGAGCGGGTTGGCTGTTAATCGGAAGGTCAGCGGTTCAATCCCTGGCTCCCCCTGGTTGCGTGTCGAAGTGTCCTTGGGCAAGATACTGAACCCCGATTTGCCCCTGGCGGCTGTTCCGCCAGCGTATGAATGTGTATGACTGGTGAATGCAGATGTAGTGTAAAAGCGCTTTGAGTGGTCGAAAAGACTAGAAAGGCGCTATACAAGTACGGAGCATTTAGCCCGATATTAGAAACATTAGCACTAATGTATTTAATGCAAATTTGTTTTCCAATTGGGTGGAAAGTAATGCAGTGGGAATAACTAATGTTTGCTGTCTGCATTTATTTATTACAGGTGAAAAAACTAAGTGCATTGGGCTATGTCCCTTCTATTTTTCGCAAAGAAAGATAAGGCCTCTGGAAAGTGGGTGTCTGATGTGGTGACCCATCTGCTACCCACTGAGGACAACCTAAAAATTGTGGCCACCATGAGAAAGGCCTACAATTTTGTATTGATCAAAGAAGGTAGGATTTGTGTAATTTAAGTCATGCCTGTTTTTTTATGATGGTGAAATATTGAAAATTAACATACTCATGCAATATTGTAGGGAACTCCACGACGACATTGCCCGATCCACACCCTCAGGCCCAGCCCGATCCACACCCTCAGGCCCTCCTCGATCCACACCCTCAGGCTCAGGCCCAGCCCGATCCACACCCTCAGGCCCAGCCCGATCCACACCCTCAGGCCCAGCCCGATCCACACCCTCAGGCTCAGGCCCAGCCCGATCCACACCCTCAGGCCCAGCCCGATCCACACCCTCAGGCCCTCCTCGATCCACACCCTCAGGCCCAGCCCGATCCACACCCTCAGGCCCTCTCGATCCACACCCTCAGGCCCAGCCCGATCCACACCCTCAGGCCCAGCCCGATCCACACCCTCAGGCCCTGCCCGATCCACACCCTCAGGCCCAGCCCGATCCACACCCTCAGGCCCAGCCCGATCCACACCCTCAGGCCCAGCCCGATCCACACCCTCAGGCCCAGCCCGATCCACACCCTCAGGCCCAGGAAAAGGAGACATTTTATATTTTATATTTACACCCTGTCTCTCTTCCTGTGAAGGAACAACCCCCCCCAAAAAAAGAAAGTCTAAGTTAACTGTGGTCTTAGCACACTATGTATGAATTTCTCCTTTTTGTAATCATTATTCATGAAATACAGAAATCTTTAGGTGAATTTAAGTGCAGTCAATTACCGTAGTTAATGTGAGTAATTTTCAGTGGCCAGTCTGATACACAAAGGAGTTTGTCCTCGCACGCATACCTTTCAGTACCGAACAAGCACACTCTAGGAGTAAAGCAATGAGCAATACACACTTGAGGAGAGATGAATACACACACACTCACGCACACATCAGTGGGCAGCCCAGGTAGCTTATCCCCCCCTATCACTGTTCACAATCTGCTTCAATAACCTTTAGGCCAGGCAGTAGGATAATTAGGCTAAATTTCGGCTATGAAATCACTGAATCTAATGGCTAAAGAGCAGTTCATTCCAGGAACTATAACGATAAAAGCGTCCAGACAGACTGACCAGCTATAAGCAAAGTCTCACCTTGTGTTAATAAATGTGATGGCTAAGATGTGATGGGTTCCTATTGGTTGTTAGCTCTTCTTTTTGTTGTTCTCAAAATCGCTTTAAAAGCGATCCCCAACAATATTGTTCTCAATCTCGTTATAGTTTATCATATTAACGAGAACAATATTTTTTATATAGTTATCGTTTTTGGTGTGAATGGCCCTTTATATATGTATTCTTCAGTTATTTAGCTGTATTTTCTGACGTTTTCAAAGTTCAAGGACAATGCTTAAAGTTGTTCCCCAGGTTTTATGAAACTTTAAGTTTAACTTTAAGTTTAATTTCCAGGGTTTTTTTACATTTATGGTTAATTAATATTATTATTATTATTGTCATTTTAAGGTTGCCGGAAATGTAGTAGGCAAAAAGTTTTCAAATATGACTCCATAACAGGACGAAGGATAAATGAGGTAAGAAATATATTTTTCATTAGGCTGTCTGATCATCTCTCCATTGTCTGTGGCTCATCTGGCATTTCACATATCACAAAATACTGACCATTTAAGCATTGGTAATTTGAGTCCATTTAAGTTCAACTGAAGGCCAAGTGGCCTTGCCCCAAAAATTATGAAATTCAAAACCTGATTATATGTTTTTGTCTTTCTGTAGGGGCAAGAGGAAGTAAGGGTGAAATGGTTACCTTGCTCTGCATGGTAAGTACTGCTTTATATTGGTTTATATTGCCTTCATACATGTACTCTTTTTCCACTTTTTACCATCTCATAGGTAGTGGATAAAGGTTGAAATTTATATTGTAGCACACACAACTTTAAATGTACAGGTGGGTCTCAAAGTTTTGCAACCAAAAAGCAGCGTTGAGAGAATTGTCATGTCCACTAGGTTTTAGGTCCAGCGTCAATGCAGCCTTCTACCTGGAGATTTTAGAGCATGGTTCCATCTGCTGACGAGCTTTACGCACATGCTGATATCCTTTTCCAGCAGGACTCTGCCCCTGCCACAGTGCGAAAACTGCAGTAACTGGGTTGCTTAGCATGGTATTGCTGTGCTTAACTCGTCTCACCTGAACCCCATAGAGAGGACAAAGATAGAAACCAAACCCAACATTAGAGACAACTTCAAGGTCACTATCAAAGCAACATGGGCTTTTATAACACCTCAGCAATGCCATACACTGATGGCCTCCAACCACACCACACCGATGCAGGAATTTGTGCAAAAGCAGCCACACCAAGTATAGAGTGTATGCATTAACAATTTTTGATAAGTCAGAGTTGTTCATTTATTTTTGAAAGGTCGACATTTCTGTATTCCTCTTTATTATAATGTAGTGAGTTGATTGATTTTTTTATTTTTTTTCATGAGCTGTAATCAAGATTAAATCAACACAAATTGCTTCAAATGTTGCACAATATTGTAATTGTAGACCCATAGGGTATATACCAATATACCAATTGGTATAGGGTGGAATAAATGCAGTGTCAAATATTGTCTACAGGATTTAGCCACTTGCTCTTTTCAGTACTATGCATAATTCCCCCGGTGTAATGTCTATGTAGGAAGTAGACCTTCACCAATATATTGGCAGAACATCAGTATCGGCCAAGCTCATCCTTGTTGACTGATGTCAGCTATTGACTTTCTATGACTTTATCTATGAGAGTGGCTGATGTTTATCTGTTACATTTCATCAAGCACTATATATGTATAGGTTTTATAAAAACAATGAAATACAAGACCGTACAATATTTTTTGAAAATATTTATGCTGTGAAACTATTGTTAAAATGGCTCCTGTTTTCACTGTTCTAATGTTATTTTTTACTGATACTTACAGTGGAAAAATCTGGGAGGAGACATGGGAGCCGGCCTGCCAGTTTCACCAGGTGCCAACCATGTGTAATGTCACACATTGGTCTGTAATTCAATGAGTTAAATACCTGCTATGAGATGTCAAGTTTGCCGTTACGGGCCCAGCCATCCTGCTTGCGGATGTGACTACTTTAGATGAGGAGGAGCCGCGTTACACACTTTCAATGGTTTCCACCCTAACATGCTGTCATGCTGTTTTTATTTATTTTTTAATTATTGATTTTTGTTAAAAGCTGTGTTCAAATAAATCGATGTATACCTTTATTTCTGTTTGTCTTTCCATTCACCTTGTGGTTTAGCCAATCATCTGAAGTCTTCAATGCATCAAATGATATATTGTAATGTGATGCACAAAGTATGTAGGAAGGTGGGACATGTTTTCATTCATATTAATTGACACCATTAAGGAACCGTTGATTCCACCAGCTAAACCATACATTTTCTGTAAAGGGTAGCTGAGGTAGGCAGGGGTGGATAAATGAACAGGCTTACCAGGACCAGAGGTCAAGAGGGTCCAGAAGCCTCTAAAAATTTGAAAGCATGCTTTCTAATTCAGGAAGTTTTCTAAAGGCAAGGCACATGAAACCCTGGCTGCTGCACTGTGGCCTTCCATTGACCTTGATGCACTAAATGTGTGTGTTCAAGTCTACCCCGGATGGGTAAAAGCAGAAGACTATATTTTTTTACTTTTGTTATTTCAGTCTATATGGGCCAATCTGGGTTTCTTGTTTATATTTTTAAAACTGTCAATATTCATTTAGATGTTATGGTATTTATTTATTTTAATATTTCGGTCTTATTTACGGTGAAATAATACAGTATGCTGTAATACAGAACATATGATCCGAGCTAGACGCAAAGACTCCACAATGCAATGCGGGCATTCATTCACAGAATCGGTTGTCATTGGTTGTCACCAGCAACAACAAGTTGCTCAGCTTTGTACCAGCCGCAATACCAGAGAAAGGACTTTGGTAATACCGATTACCGACCGAAGACTCCGGAAGTGACGTAGTATGTGCCGCTCGGCGGATAAGAAGATAAAAAAATATATTTGTGCAAAATTGACTTAATTTATTTAATATATGCTTTTTTGGAAATGTTCTAGATTTCTAAGAAATGTGTTTTTGCACTATTGTAAAACATTTCTTGAATAAAAAGATAAAAAAATACACAGTATTCGTAATATTGATGTTTTTGTCTAACGTTGTATTTGAGGATTTAAACAATAAAGATAACAATAATAATAAAATACAGTTTAATGTATTTGTCTCATGTATTGTGTGCTCGTCGGCCGGCGGCAATCTGCAATGGAATGAAGCCCATTCACGGCCATAGTTACATAGTTACACGAACATGTCCCCCCACCCCCACCCCGGAATAACTACACATAAGCACTCGCTTTGTGTGGCGCGTCTCTTATGGGAGTTGTAGTTTTAAAGTATATTGGTATATTTCTCACAATTAAGTTAAAAGTGTAAAATTTTGGATACCCCTGTGTTTTTTTGGGATGGGGAACACACTGGTGTTATCAGATTTCAAAAAATGAATCGTTAAATAGGTGAGATAGCTTATTTCCATATTTGACAGTGCTTATACAGTGGGTAAACTTTGGTGACCATATCTACATGACAGCAGAGGCCCAGAGCTTTATATATAAATGCTGGTCTTATGTGTTTAGCACCTTCTGTTGCTAAATTACAAACCAAGATGGACTGGGTTCAAGGTTCAGAGGTCAATGCTCTCTGCAATGCTCTTCTGGCTGTACTTCCATCTTGTGCAACTAAACATCTACAAATGATCTGGAATGCTGCAGCTCGTCTTGTCTTCAACGAGCCCAAAAGGGCCCACGTCACTCCTCTGTTCATCTCTCTGCACTGGCTGCCACTCTCTGCTCGCATCAAGTTCAAGGCCTTGACACTTGCTTACAGATCGACCACTGGCTCAGCTCCCTCCTACTTTCACTCGCTCTACGAGTCTACACCCCCACCAGAAGCCTACGATCGATCAATGAGCGACGGCTTGTGGTACCATCACACAGAGCCACAAAATCACTCTCTAGAACATTCTCATTCACAGTTCCATGCTGGTGGAATGATCTGCCCACCCTCATCCAGAATGCAGAATCCCTGACAGCATTCAAAAGACAACTGAAAACTCATCTCTTCCGAAAGCACTTAACATAGGTGCCTGTAGGAGCAGAGCTGGTGGATTGGTTCATCATTTATGACTTCTAATACCTTCTGACCCATGTCAAGACCCTTTCATCAACTTGTGAAATGGTTGAATGAGATATGCGAGTTGTGTCTGTATGCTGTAAGCCGAGGAAGAAGTGTGCCAAAAATGCCAAAACACATGTTGTATACTGTATGTACACTAACCCTAACCCATAATATGCTCTCATGTTTTTTCCCCTTTAGTCTCTGCTATTAACATTTATCAACCACAAAATTTTAAAACCAACCACAAAATTGCTTTTTTAAATAACTATGCATGGAAAATAAATAAAAAAAATGCTTCTCTTTTTATAGTTTTATTTTTTTGTTTTTCACAACAGTACAACAAATCCAAATTAATCAAACAAGCCATTAGGCTGTATTTTTAAACACTCAACTGTAGTTTTTTTTAAATATAGTATATAAGGCAAATCAAAGTGCTTAGGTCAGGAAATGTAGTTATTAAAGCAAGTCTTGAAGTAATTCAACGACACTTCCCAAATAAACATCCAAATTCAGAAAAATTGTTTTGTGTGTATATAATAACCACTATAGTGTCTATAATTAAGTCACATTTTCAAGTCTTGGGCCAGTTTTTGCATTTGTTGAACCTCTATGTACCTTCACTGCACATGAGAAGCAGCTGAATAAGTCCTGTCAAGGGTGCTTTCAGAGACCATCTGTAGCAGGTGAGTTGATGCAAGAGTCCAAATTCAGAAGAAAATGGGGTTGTGTGTCCATGTAAAACTGTCAGAAAACTCAGATTTGCCACAGCAGATGACATCAGTGGAATTATGTTTATTATTATTAGTAAAATACATATTTACACCTTCCTGTAAACTTTTCTGCACATAGTTTTGTTCTACCATAAACAGAAGACGACTATTCAAAAAACAGTTTCTTAAATTAATTTCAGTTTGTATAACTACATTCATTATTATTGTTGTAATGTAACATGTAGATATGATAATTACTATTATTCAAGCATATCTGACTTACAAACAGTGTTTCCTCTTTGTTGATTTGACCGTGGTGGCCCCCACAGCAACATTTCGAGATGGTTCTCACTGCGGAACATGAAATCCATGGGGAGGAGTCGGATCCAGTCGGATTGAGGTGTTACTGAACATTTCTGCCCCCCCACGGTATCAGAAATAGGGCGACGGCAGCTTTAACTGGTGATTTTTTTGGACCTGCCCCCACTACTAAAAACAAACAAACAAAACACTGACAAATATAAGAAATCGAACCAAAAGTGAATAACTGGTCATTTATCACTTCGAGAGCTCCTCAAACTGACAGTTCAGAATCACTGTCGTATCCATCCCAATCATTCTGGAAGTCCATACTTGTTCCAGTCAAAACTTGAGCATAGCAGTCTCTTGCATGCTTCATCATTCTGGTGACTTCTTGCTTCTTTCTCAAAGTTAAACTGAGGAAACCCTTGATCCCTTCTTCATTTAGAGCCCACAGCTCACCTTATGGGAGTAAAACAAAAAATTATCAGAAAAAAAATTACAATGTAGAGTATAGTATTACAACACATTACTTAAATACGTACTTTGCAATGCCTCACTGGAAAGCTGGGATGACATCTCCTTGAGTGTGTCTGCACGAGTGGAGAGAGATTTCCAATGCTTTGCCATCTCAGAAAGAACAATCTTCTTCTCCTCCTCAAGTCTCCTTATTGCCATCACAACATCAAACGCCTTCCTCTTGATTTTCAAATCTACAGCGTCTGGGATACAGTTGTGGAAAATAAGTAAATTGTAAGTATGATTATTTTTCAAATAATATTTGAGATAATCTGGGATAAGGCATAATTGTTTTGTGCTACTATGTGAATCAAACAAAATTGTCAACAGATTTGTGTACATACCACCATGTGAAAGTTGCCATGGCCAAACTGTCTCGTCAGAGAGAATGATGTCAAAGACGATTCTTTCTGTATCTGGAACCATACTGTTGTATTTTTCAACGACAGAGCTAAGAATGGCCTTCTCCTCTCTGATTTTGCGCCGAATCCGGGCCCGACCTTTGCTGCCATCGGTGTCTTTGTAAAGGCGCTGGGACCTTCTTTTAATGCTGGCCACCAGCACCTCCATTCTACTGGTCACCGCGTCAAGATCGGCATTCTTTTGGGATGTTGTTGCTGAGAAGAAAAGAAGTGTAAACATTTCACTTACATTTTCATGGCAGTAACTGAAACGAGCTAAGTCTCAGTGTAACACAGAACGCCACAGGGAAGTCATAAGGATTACCTTAACCTCTTTGCTGCTTTTTTTTCTTTATAAAAAAAAGCTCCTGGAGGAAGGACAGGTGAGTCTCAATATTCATTTCATATTTATTAGCGTGTAGAGGAAGTATGTAACAGGGTACCAAAGAAAATGACAACGTAGCCAAGATGGGATCCGCTACCTGCAAGAAATTTCGGAAACACTTTATTTTACGGTGTCCTTGTTACATATGTTACATGAACTTAAAATAGTAATAACAATAAATTATGCATAATTACATGTAACTAACCCTCAACCAAATCCTAATCCTACCCTAATCCTATAGTAAGTGCATGTAGTTAATTAATATTACTCCATATATAAATTTATAATTACACTCTAAGAAGGACACCTTAAAATAAAGTGTTGAATGTCACCGAAATGTCCAATGTTCCAACTTTTGGATTGTGCACCATTCAGGTACTTTCAGGGCACTTTGTTTTGACATGATTTCCAGTGTGCATGCACTACATACTAAAATTTGGCATTTTAACTGCACAAGTAAATGACCAAGAAAACAGTGTATGTATGATTTCATTTTAAAACAGTAATTACTTGCAGAAGCATGTCTCCCATTATTCTGCAGAACTGAGACATTGAAATAATAGTATAACTATCACCTTCTGCCCACTCCTTAATATCAGTGACCCAGCCCTCAACTTCAACCTGTGTCACTGCCAGCTGGATTTTCATGCTTTCCAGATCCTGAAGTTGGCTTTCCAGGCGTTTTGCGGCCTTCAAATAACAAAAAAAAGAAATGAAATAAAAATGTTATACCTACAAAAATATACAATAGAAGGTATTTACAATATAAGAAAATAACAATACTCATCTCTACCTTCTGATATCGGCAGGCAAGTGAAGCAGCCAAGTTATTAAACTTTTGCTGATTCCAGCGCATGGCCATCAGTGTAAGCATGTCTGTACGTCCTGAAAAAAAAAAAAAAATACACTAATCTGTGTTGTACCACATGTCCCTCACTGGCTACAATTTTCTTGTAACACTTTCAATCTAAGTAGTGCAGTGTGTGGTTACCTTACCTGCTTTGGACATGTGCTTTGTGGTCACAGCAATCCTAGAGAGGAAGGCGTTACACTGCTCAACCTCCTCCCCAAGTGTCAATCCGGCCCCTTGCTGGTAAGCTCCACTCCATTTAACCTATTGAAGAAAATACTTAAAAGCTGCCAACATACCTTTCAGGTGTTTAGGGACAGTTAATGACATGGTAATGTTTTCTTACCTCGCATTTAAAATCATGGGCTTTGGCATGAAACACTGAGAGGAATGGTTTCATGCTCAGAAGGTGCTGGAGCTCCTGGCAGCTTTTTATCACTTTGTGGAGGTAGGGCCAGTACTTGCAGGTTACATCCATGGCAAAAAAGCTTATTGACTTATTTGCCAGCTTGTTCTGCAGGTAGAGGGGATAAGCATATATTTCTCCCCTGAACATGTTGAGAGCGCCGAGAAAAACTCCATGTCGACAGACCGCAAGCTCAAGTCCCTCCTCATCAATTTTACTAGAGGATCTCTGAGAAGTTTCCCTGGCAGCTGACCACTCCCCTCCACAGACACCTCTTCCAGAGACCTACAACATGGAAAAAGGTTGATATAAATAGTCAGGACTCACCCAAACAATGTCAACTGTAAAATGTTATTGGTCGTGTTTTTAGAAATATTATACAACAAGTTTACATGGTTGGTGTTGGAATGAATGTAATCCACAAATCTTTCTACTTCATCATCTTTTGCAATGAAGATGCCATCAAATAAGGCTTGTTCTTCAGATCTAATTGAAAGAAAGGTACACATTGACCTTCAATATGACACAGCAAAGGTTACTTTAACAACACTGCAAATTACACACATTTTGTAAGTACCTTGCTGTGTTCTTAAAGCGGTAGTGCTTGCGATTTCCATCCACAGAAACAGCAAGCATGTCTGGGGTGCATGCAGGACAGATAAAATGCTCCTCCCTGCAGATCTTATCCACTTCAAATTTAACAGCCTCCCACTCCAAAAAGCTTTTTCTGAAGCTGTCTGCTGTGATCTTCCCAGTCTGTTTCAGAACAGTAAAACATGTCAACATAATTCACAGTTAAGTTAACTAAAGTTAATAAGGTCAAAGGTGACACCAAATCCTCCTGCATCGAGCCTCCACAGGCAGTCGCTCAGCCCAGTGGATCTTTGGAAGTCTTTATCTCTTTGTATGTCATGGACAAAAAACATCACGACCAAAGTCCCCCCCAAAAAAGACCACAGCAAACTCGACTCCCACAGCAAACTTCACCAATGTCTTTATGGACCTATTTGTTTTTTTTCTGAATGCAAACTGCATGACTAGGATGTGACATCACTACTTGATCTTATACACAGGTCTAATGTTTTGAGTGATTGAGTTGATAAATTGCTCCAATATTTTTGTACATTTAGTGTATGAATTTAGATTCTTTACTGAGTGGTAGTTTTTACACAAAGACTTTGAATCTTAGATGATGTTCTATTAATGTATCGAGTCCAGCTGAATCACTGTTTTGATTTCATCAACATGCTCCAATTATAATAATCAGTGTGTTGATAATGTCACCATAGTCGTTCTGCGATACACATCAATACTAGTACTAGTTGTTAGTGATTCCCACCACTCATACTCACACGGCCAAAGCGGACAGTTCGTTGATCAAGCATTCTTAAGAATGCTTGGCAGGACAGTCCTGGTGCTGCCATCTTCAATTCTTCATAAGAACAAAAAACATCTGTAGCGTACACCGTGGAAAAGTGAAGGGTAGCAGGCCAGTAGTCATTACGGACTAAGTCATCCACTCCAGCGCTCCATGTGGCTTTGCATGCCTCACATTTCATCTCAGGCATACTGAGATCATATCGTCCTGGAAAAATCAGGAAAAGTAGCTTACATTACTATCACCTATGTAGTACATTCAGAACTAATAAAACTTAAAATCAGACATCTGGCAGTCTCTCATTTGTCAAGTGCCTCTTTTGTGAGACAGAACGCAAAACTGAACATCCCTCCTGCCTATCCTGGGTCTTTCACAAGCGGGAGATGCACATAAGGTTATAGATGCGGGCGGGAGTGGGACTAAAACACATTATTGCGGAACGGGACAGAATATTGTGGGAACGGGGGGGCGCAGGACTGAAAATCCTGCCCAGCACAGACCACTATAGGGAACGTTTGAATAGAAATAGGACACATTTACAAAGCCAATAGCACTGCCTTGTTTTTTTTTCTATTCAAATAGGACAATGAAAAGTGGCAGGAAGCGAGTAGGAGAGCCCTATGGGGTGAAATCAGGTTAAAGTCCAACCCAGGTCCCTATGGGCACTTTGCCCAGAATGTGATATGGACGCTAAAGCCACTTGATCTGTTTCTCTTAAGTTCATTTTATTCTTACCATTCATTGTAACCACAGCAACAACTTTTCCTGTGTTGACACTCAACGATCCCGGAGAACAACTACATATTTTTTTGGGAATCTCCAACGGCACAATACACACTGAAAGACACATCATATGCAGGGATTAACAACATGCATCATCCTATGTACTAACTGGGAAGTATTCTGCAATCATTTTCTTTTTCTTTTTTATCAATGATTTGAAAAGCTTTAAAGATAAAGGTCATTAAGTGTGTTTCAGAGAAAGTACTCAAAACATTCCTGTGAAGCCTATTACACTGTAAAGTTATTTAAATAAACTGAGAATGGGACTAGTGCTGCACAATATATAATTGCACTTTTTCTGACAGATAAAGCGATTACCATTTCCAATTCAATTTTTGAGTGTATGATTTGATTCAGTTCAATATTCCAAATGTCTCTTTAATTTGTGCCACCCCTGATAAGTAAGCACAGCCAGTGTACAAGACTAACACCCACTGACCGACTGAAGTTCACCAATCAGAATTTTTGTCCCCTTCACACACTACGCACACCCACCAACCAGAAGTTGCACAGTCAAGGAGGATGACGTGAATATAAAAGTCAAATGTCACAAATGATATTTGAAGATTTTACCATTAGGCAGTTGCGTTGGATCATATTGCAATTACGATTGCAATAATTGTGCAGCCCTAAATAAGACACTCAAAGAAATAGAGCTTACCACAGTGGGAAAGAGCCCTCTCCACGACACAGGTTGTTGGAGGCAATGGCTGAAAGAATCCAGCTATTGTTGCATCCCTGTTGTGGAACACATGGTTTCGGTGTATACTGACATCACAATCAGCACAAAAGAATGGTTGTGGTCGGCAGTCACGACAACGGACAGCAGCTGCACTGCTGCCACATTGTTGGCAGATCTGAGTGTTCACATTTTGTTGTGCCACCATGGTATTCACCAGACAGGGTCTCTCTTTCTCCCACCTCTCTGAGAGGAGACTTTTTCTAGTAGACCAGTCTGAGGAAGCTTGTGGTGGTGCTGGTGCCGTTTCCTGATCATCCAAGTCATCACCCTGTGAGTGGTTTAGCTCTTCAAGGAAAGTCTCTGTTAAAATAGTACATCATATTTAAAAACAATTTTCTACACTATCAAAGTGTGCAACATGTTGTCGGTTATTCTGTCGCAAAAACATGTAATTTACATTCTAATTATTAGAATCTATAAACATAATGAACTAATAGACACAAAATAAAGAACATACCAACAGTGTCAGGGGGACAGTAGTTGGTTATCTCAAAGCTGTTGTCCAACATCCTAGTATGAGAACTAGACTTACGACTGTAGCTGTGACTAGCTGTAGCAGAAAATAAAACCCAAATCAACCTTTACAGCATTACAATTCCATAGATTTTGACAAGCTCATTTTATTCCACACAATGATACATACTTTTATTGGCCCAATTTCATTGTCTATACCACTTTGGATGATCATGAGTATGTAATAAAAACCTCATATCTCATACCAGACACATGACTGATTCATGTATTCAATCCCAAGTGGTAAAACAATCTATATCTCCGTTTTAGATCTATGTGAAAAATCACAGGAGTACGCCTTAAAGTAATATGACTGAAAAAAGAAAACTGACCCGTTTGTTTTCGGGATGATCTCGGTCTGTCATAGACAACATTTCCATCACTGTCTCTCTTCAGCCACCTGACAGGTTGATGGCTAGTGGAGTGTGCTGCCTCCTGGACTGGTTGATGGCTGGTGGATGGTGCTGCCTCCTGGACTGGTTGATGGCTGGTGGATGGTGCTGCCTCCTGGACTGGTTGATGGCTGGTGGATGGTGCTGCCTCCTGGACTGGTTGATGGCTGGTGGATGGTGCTGCCTCCTGGACTGGTTGATGGCTGGTGGATGGTGCTGCCTCCTGGACTGGTTGATGGCTGGTGGATGGTGCTGCCTCCTGGACTGGTTGATGGCTGGTGGATGGTGCTGCCTCCTGTTCTCCCTGCATCTTATTGATGAAATCATCCATGATCTGGAGTTCATAATTTAATTTAGAATGTTCAACAAGTTCATCAAGCTCATTAAGGACCTGTTTGAAATTGGAATTGTCACTCATGGTGAACAAGGACAAACAAGACAACACTAAAGGGATAGGGGGAAGAGCAAAAGAGCAAGAACAACAGAGAACCAGACAGACTAACAACAATTAACTAGACAAAAGTGGCTCTTAAAAGTGCCTTTGTTTTTGCTTTGTAACGAAGCTGAGGTTTTGAAGTAAATGATGAAGGGACTAGGGAACCTGTTGAGAGAAGGGAAAGACAATAAATTCAGATTTGAAGATCATGCTACATACAACTACATAAATACTGTAGTGAACAACGATGTGGATTTGTGCATTTATATTGAATAAATTTGGAGCTACGCCTAAATTCCTTTCTCCTCCCCAGAGAAGATGGGGAGGGGTCAAAGTTGCTTTCTCTAAGTGCTAGCCCGACCATAAAACTGGCACCATTTTGATTCCGAAGCTGATAACGCGGGGCCTGACTGTTAAACTGACAAAGGGACACGAGCCAGCCATTGGCATCTCCCTGAACAGCCTATCAAAACTTACCCCACCACACACGTTTCCGTGGAAACTGACCTTATTCTTTGTTTATTACCACATCAAAAGGATACTCCTTGTCTCACCTAAGTGTGACATGTTCCAGACACTGAACTTTGGATGACAAAGGACTGCATTCTCCAAAAGACTCAAAGCATCTAATTAAATTTAATTAAATCTTTAGTTACCTGAATACGTTTGCCTCTATTTGAGTAGTTATGTTAACTGTTGTTGCTATCTGTTGTTGATATTAGTGCTGAAAAGAAGTTACTTGTGCAGAGTTTTTATTTTCAGCAAGACACTCCTTCATCTAATGTAATCCATGCTTGTTCATAATACTTTCTTACAAAATCCCTTTAGAAATGATAACAAATGTTTTACTATACTCTTAATCGCCAGCTTGAATTTAAGGATGAATCAACAATATTCCCCGGTTCCTAAGGAGAGACGATCTTTGATTTAATCCAAGCTTTCCTCATGTAACCTGAGCTCCCCCAAGTGGACGAAATAAGTATTACATGCCCTCGTCGGAAATGCGGTTAAATGTATAAATACTGACCAATAATGTGACAATTGTTTCCTGTTACCAAATGCCTAGAACAGTACAACCGTTCAACCATTGAGGTTCGATTGTGGAAAATATTTGATTATAATACGTGCAAATAGATTTCTTTTCTTTAGACATTAAGTTTGGAAAGGCAGTCCCTGGGAAACCTGAGACGCCCCCTGGGGAACCACGCCCCAGACAACAAAAGAGCGACACGCGACCTGTCTCTAGACTTCTCTTCTTCTAGACTCTTACTAGACGCTTCCCTCTTCTCGCTCTTCCACTCTGGCCCCTGGATGCTTCGGCACGCGCGTGGCGTGCCTCGCCAGACAACACGCCCAGACTCAGCCAGCGAAACAAACAGGCCTTTGTTCGCTTGAAGCTACACACCTGAAGTGCCGAGACATCGATCTGCCTTCAGTTTGTTTTATTTTCTTTATTTCTTTTGTTTGTTAAAGTTATGAGTCCGTTAAGTTACACTGGACTAATTCAGGAACGACCAAGTTCCATTTTAAGCCTTTTTCGTCGAGCCAACTTCACCGAGGTCAGACCAAGCCACGTGGTCTCGCCAGCTACAACCAAGGAAACCTGCAAACAGCCGAATTGCCAGACGGAGGAGGCGTTTTCAATCAGACACGGAGAACCCCGAAGAATCCCTAGCAAAAAGCCAGGATCGGCAGCTAGAGTGGGACCCGTGCAACAGGCCAAAAGCAGGCTGTCGACAAGCAGTAAGACTTAACACACGTCCTGTGATCAGATGTCCATTTTAACTCCTAAACTATAGCATTAGTTTACTTTCATTAGCTCTTCTATGCCGTATGAGTCGAATGCTTCCCACAATCGAACCTCCAGGCTCATTGTTCAGCAAATGTTTATGTTCCCTGTATCCAACCATCTTTTATCACCTTAGTTAGAGAATAAATTCACTGTAATATAATCAAGAGCTGTGTGTGTTGCCTATTTATAGTTCCTGCCAAGAGAATTGACCCTTTAGATATGAGACTGACTGACTGATTTAAGATAATTGAGCGATTATTAACTAACTGATCACTAGTAATAATTGTATAATTATTCAAAACTACCTAGAGGTCCGGAGACTCTAGGATTATAACAACTCCGGTGGTGCCCTTTACGAGGAAATTCTGATTTTATGAATAATAATTCATAATTGGGTATCAATTCTCATAAATTTATTAAAATGCATAACTAATAAATTTAGGTCCACTACATAATGGTGCCTTCCGTGTGAGGCCTTGTGACATACTATAATAATAGACTATACACACAGCCCTGATGCAGAGAAGTTATTGAGAAAAGTTATTGAGTCCCAGAAATTTTTCCCTCCAAAATTTTGCCACTGAAATAATTATCGCCCAGTAAGTTGCTCCATAGAAACTCTCCTGTCTTCCCTCTTAACTTAACGTTAGTGATGAAAGTGTGTGTGAGTTTTGACCATGTTCTTTGTTGTGAAATGAAATGCTTTGTGCAACTTGTTTGGCCGCCGGGCCATTGTTCTGTTGTTCAGTACAGAGCTGTAGTGAGCTGAGCTATGAGGGACCGAGCTAATGTTAAACTGAATGCATTCCTGTAACGTTGCCATATGAGAAATCTGAGCTAAAGCTACACACAATCTCCGCTGACGAGTGGATGAAATGCCCTTTTGGTTGAGAGAAACTTAACCGATATTGATAATTTTAAGGCCTAATAAGAGGCAGACAGATTACAGTTGCGCTGTGCCAATGTGATTTGTTTGCGGCTATAAATAACAGTCTGACGCGCTGAGCCGTGGATTGTTATGTTATATGCAAAACTCCGGTATCCTGTTGAAATTAGCTACTTCAACAAATACAGCTGCCCGGCAGTGGAGTCACAGGCGTGAAGACGCCGAGTTTAGCCTGTAGCGTTGTACCTACCGAGCTAAGTTAACGCTAAATCGAAGCTTGAAAGCAA